TTTATACATTTTTAATTTAAAATAATTATATCTTTCTATAGTTTGTTATAAGTATGTACCTCTTTCCACCGTAGTATCCAATAAAGCCAATACATGTCTGAAATGTTCGTCGTACTTCATAGTTAATGATAATTGTTCCATTATTTTTGAAGAAGAAAAAATCAGTGTCTGAAAATATTGAATTTGATATAAAATGTTGTGTAAAATTATAAACAGATCTTTATTATTAGATGTTGTGATAATATGATTTTTGTTACTACCAATAATAGTATCATTTATAAGCTAGGAATTATTATGTTTTCATTATATAATATATTTTTTTTAAAGAATATATTTACAATCTGTGTTAGCACAGTCAGTAAATCTGATGATTTATTTATTTACAATAATTAACATGAATAATAAAAAGAGAGAGACCAACCAGTGCTGAAATCCAATGTGAAATTATTTTAGATTTATTTAAGATTAGTAAATCCCTGCAGTATTTTCTTTTGATCCTATGGATGGGATTAATGGGTTAAGTGTTTAATGAGATTTGCAATACTAATGGGTTAGTATGGGTAGGTAGTTTGGAATAGAAAGATCGTTAGTGTTTAGGTCAGAGTGTAGTGTAGAATTGGATACAAACCAGGGTGCAGACGTTATCATACGAAGAGTAATGGACTGGAATGCTTATATGGTACAAATTTGGGATGGTTTAGCACAGCCCCAGATTTGGATTGCATATGCCCATATTGGTTGCAAGAGAGATTTATACATAATAAGTTTGGTGTATATTGGGAATTTTTGATTTTAAAATTGGACGAAGTAGGTGTAATCCTGGCTGTTTAGGGTTTTTCATTTTAGTTTAAGGTATGGGCCCCAAGTTAGTCTTTTAACAACCGTAATGCCAAGATATTTGACATTTGGAGAAGATGGAATTTGAGAACCTTGAAAGTAAACAGGTGGAGGTTCAGTTCTTTTTAAAGTGAATGGTACTTAAACGGATGGGAAAACGCGAGTTGGGTCCCGAGATATTTGATCCCTTAAAAAAAAACACGAGTTGGGTCCGCGGTATTATTTAATGATACTCGAATTGGGTCCGCGGTAATATTTGATAATACTCGAATTGGGTCCGCGGTAATATTGTCAGTGCCGGTCGCACACGSCTTACACTGGCACTGAATATATTATATATTATTTTAACACGATGTATAGATGTGGCCTATAACTTTCTAGTAAATAGTAATAATGTAGTATGTACTATAATAATAATTTTAAGTTTTATGTTTACAACAGTAAAGTATAACTTGGTAAATGTTTATACAAACCAAAATACTCATGATGCAATTTATGACTTATGAATATTATGACTTGGAAAAAAAATTAATAAAATTTTTTACTGAGTTAAGTTAATTTTATTTTATATCTTAACTTTAATTTTAATTAATTTCATTCAATTATTTTCATTAACTTGTCCACCTTTGCATAAAATATACCGGGACCCAACTCATGTACCGTACCTCAAAAAAATATACCGGGACCCAACTAATGTACTCCATAAAGTATACCGGGACCCAACTCGTGCTGTTTTTGAAATCTGGGACCCAACTCGAGTTTGACCAAACGGATTTGTCTGGATTTATTTTTATTCACTATTTGGTTTCTCAGTTTTCAATGGAATCTAAATGTATTTGTAGACTGTTGGATGTTTTGTCAGGAACATGTCAGAACTGCAGTATCGCCTGCATAAGTAGCCATGATGGTGTTTGTTGTAACTGGAATGTCAGCTGTATAAATATTAAATAGATCAGGAGAGATGTCACTAMCTTGGTACACAGCAGCTTTAATGCAAAACTGTGATGAGTATGAGCTACCATATTGGATTATGTAAGAGCGGTTTTCGAGATATGAGCGAATAGTTAGATAGTATGGTGCAGGTAAAAAAATTTTGAGTTTGTAGTAGGCGTTCATGCCACACACAGTCAAACGCTTGAACTACGTCCAGGAAAATGACAGAACAAAATTATTTAATTTCGACAAAACAGCATTGAAATCAAGATCATAAGTTTCTAGACACTTCATTATTGAATTAATTAATTAATTCATTCATTCATTAATGAAGTTTCAGACATTAATAACAAAACATACGGTCTAATATTTTTATTTATGTATATGTTATTACTTTATATTACAGTAATACACAGTACAAGTAAAAAAAAATATTTGTATCCCCAAAGCTTTAGTATTTTATATAAAATTTATTAAATAATAAGAACTTGAAAAAAATATATCACATAAGACTATAACAGTGAATATTCTGGTATTTTTATAATATTTTATTAAATTCCAACATAACACTGATAAGTTGGAAAAACAATGAGTTTAATAATTTTATAATATTTTCGAGAAAATATTGCGAATTAAGAGGATGCTACACCCGCATGTTTGGTCACCGTCTTACAAATGTAAAACATTACAAAAACTGTTCTGTGCTGAAAAGAAACACTCAAGCTGTAACCAAGCTAAGCAACCAAATTTTCATAGTGTAAAGAAGAGAATATTTACAGTGCAACGTAGTTTTTATTTGTTGTCATCATAAATACGAAAAAAGTTCTTATTGTTTAAGAATTAATTATTTTTGAGTTTTTCAAACTTATATCACCTTTTTTTTAGTTCTGTTATCGAAAAATAAAAACAACGCTGTACAGTAAATATTCTCCTTTTTATAGTGTGAAAATTGTATTGCTTAACTTGGATTACAATTTAAGTGTTTCTTTTCAGCACAAAACAGTGTTGCGATGTTTTACATTTGTAAGACGGAGACAACACAAGAGCATCCTCTTAAGATTTTGTTGCTTTGAGTACCAAAAAAAACCAAAATATTAGAATTCTAGTTTGTTCCAAATTTTATTTTATTCATCATGCAATTTTCTAACTGACTGACCTAATAGCAATATGATTTATTCTATTATAATGTTTGGCGTGTTTTGGGTGATTTCTCGGTGGGTGTCTAACATTTAATGAATTACTTAAATATTCTTAAATAAAAAAAGTAAATTATAAAATAAATGATAATACCAATATTTAGACCTTTTTTTAAGTCCAGACGTGGAACACTCCCTCCTCCACAAAAAAAATACGCCACTGATCATAATTAATTTTAAAATATCTAAAAAATAATACTTTGCACTATCGTAAAATATTGAATGCATACATTTTTTTTTAAATAAATACATTTTATAATACGTCAAATTCGACATACAAATTAATATAAAATGTAGCAATAGTTCGGAGTATGTGGAACGTAGATTTGCTTTGTTAGGTAGGTGTAGTGATAGGCAGAAATAATAAACTTATTTGTAACGTCATTCTAGGACAGCATTACAATTTTTTTTTTTAAAGAATCACATTGCAATAGTTTTCAATTGTATATTTAATCTGCTGCTCGAATTAGAACGAGTATGGGTATTGAAAACGTATTGAGCTTTGTTTTGAACAATCCAAACTATTATAAACTATTCTATAAAGGTGTCTTAAATAAGTTTCTTCTTCCTAATAATGACATAAACAACTAGAATTATAAGCTATTAAATTAACATTTCCGCGTAAATTCATAAATTATTATTATTAGTATTTTATTACAAAATTCATCATCTCTTAATCGTATGTTGTTCCAAAAATTAATAAGTTTAACTTCTAAAATTACAAAATTCATAGTACGATAGAATAATAGATTAGTTCTTTAAACTGCTTTTTGTTTTACCTCTGATATGGAATGAAAATGTTTAAATCTTGATAGGTACGCCTAAAATAAATTCATAATGAAAAAGAGTTTACTATCTATAATTATCTTAAAAAGTAGATATAGTTGTAGATAGCAGTGAAATTAATATACAACATTCTTGTGGAGATAAAATTATTTTACCATCATAATAATTTTTTGTAATTATTATGACATAAACAACGATTATCAGTTGATTTATCTAGTTCTACTTCTATTTAAATTGTATAACATGTAAAGTATGTACGTATATAACAATTTAAATACCAACATTGGCAACATTTATCTTGAAAATAACAATGAGGTCTAGCGTGTGAATAAAAAATAATTTCTATAAAATTTAAAATTTAATAGAAATAATGAATCTTAAAAGAGCGTAGGTTTTTTTTCAGGACCTTGTTGTGTCTTAGCTTATAAGAAGGTCGAATTATTTCAAAGTCATTTTTTTAGCAATTTATTATTATTAGATCAATTGTAAAAATGATTGATTAAAAAAAACTCCACCCATTTTGTTGCTTTGTTCAGTACTATTACTACATTTTAATAGAATTAAATTTTATAATTTACGAAACCAAAACATGAATGCATAAGAGTAATACAAATGACACGCTTTATTTTGCCAAGTTGTTTCACACTGAGACACAAGTTTAAATCACGGTGCAAGGTACATAGTAGTACCGAAATGATGATCGATAATACTGTTTGAATGTGTCTAAGGAGAACAACCCTAGTAATAATGAGACAATTTCGAAGGGCACAGTCAGATAATTTCTTCCGTGGTTCGTTTCAGAGTATTTGTTTGTAATAAGATAATTTGATTTAAAAACGAAAAATAATTATTTATGATGATGTACAATTTTGATTAGTAAAATTATACAGACAATTGTGTTGAATTTGATTTAAATCCAACCTTATTGTTTAGGAAGACGATAGTTTGCAAAACGATTGCATTTAGCGGGATGTAATGTTACTGTTTTTTTTTTTTTTTTTTTTAAATATGAGAACTTAAAAATTTATACACAGGAATATGTTTTACAAAAATCGTGGTAATTGTGAAGTAAGTACAGACACGTCTATATTTTAATACGTAGTATTGTAGTTATATTTTTTATATTTTCTTTTATCAATAAGACAGAAATAATATGGGTTCTAAAATATTACAAAATTGATAAAAATAAAATTAACTATCCAAAGTATTTTTTCAATGAATATAGTTACCAATAATGCTTTTTGTTATAGAATGAATCGCTTTTTCCGAGAGTAAAATTGCGCATGCGTGGTTTGATTTTCAGTCTGGGGGCTCTAGATTTGAATCGATTCATTTTTTATTGTTCGACAATGTTAAGTAGATAGATCCTCAGATCGTTATTCAGTAACAGGAGACCAATACAACTAACTCAACCGAATATTTAATAGGCTAAGATCATCTATGAAAAATGTGAGTAACAATTAATTATTATATTAAACAAAAATATTGGTATTCTTTGTTGGAAATATTAAAAATCGTGAAATTTATTTTTAAATCTACATCTTAAAGCAAATATAACTTCACTTATTAATCATATCAGATTCGAAAGTACTTAGCGTTAAAAAATTTATTTTATATAAAAATATAAGGTATACAAGGCTATATAGGTGTTATACATTTTTGTAGAAATTAGAAATGTGAAATTACACTCATCTTCTACTGCATACCTAATTCAACTCTTAAAAATAAATAATTTTTGACGTAGTTTTCATAAAATAAACATATTTAATATGCTTTTTAGTTTACAATACAAATCTAAAATACAATTTAAATGTGGATTGTTAAAACTTAAAATGTCGTAAATTATTTTAAATTATCAATTAACCTATATTCACTCAATTAAATTACTTACAAAATACATAAAAATATCAATTTTGTAGATCTACATATTTTGTAACATTATTAACGGTGTGTTAAACTGTTTTTATCTTGCTTTCTAATAAAGATAGAACAGGAAATACTGAAAACTTAACAGCACATAGACAAATTAAAATAATATTTCAATTTATTCCTATAAAATATGAATATATTATTAACTATAACATGTGCCTATTAAAGATAATTACTAATTGCAAAACAAATATTGAAATAGGTACATAATTTAAAATTATATTAAATATCAAATATAGGTAAATTAACTTATCATTGTAGTTACATGCCTTTAATTACTTGAATACAGTTAGTTTGTTTTTGTTTACACCAATGTCTTGCATAAAATGTAATAAAGGGAATTCATTGTTGTCTAGAATAAAAAAGAAACAAAAATAGTAACACTAAATAAAAAAAAAAAAATGATGTCTTACTATAACAGTGGATATTATTGAAAAATATCAATCAATGAAATTAAGTATGTATATTTTAAAAATGATAATAAATATTACTACAAATTTATTTTATAATAGTAATAAGTCATTGTAGGTATCATGAATTTATTTATATATATAATAATGAAGGTGTTTTATAAATTTGAAATCAAATGTGGACTTAACCATTATTTTAATAAGCAAGGTAGTTAATATTACATTTGTAACCATTTAACAGTAAATAAAAAAAAAAAATTCAAGGGTTAAAGATATTTTTTTAACAAATACCAAAATAGCGCATATTGACAAGATCTATAAGAATTATCATAGTTTAATTACCATCCAAATTACAGGCAACAATTGTTATTTGATATTAATATAAGTGAAAAAGTGTCAAAACAATACATTTCACGAGATACATAATTAATTTAATAACTATTTTTAAATTTAATATAATTTTATCTTGTCTAGACAAGTTTACCKCAAAAATATTTATGTTATTCACAATGCATATTATAATATAGTCAGCTATAATCAAAATGTTATTCAATTTCATCAATATGATTTATTTATATTACAACCGTGTGATAAATCTGTATTTATCTAATGCTAAATATTTTTAAAGTTTCTGTTACGTTTTTATAACTTAAAATATAGTTACACCATAATAACAGTTAAAAATGGTAAAAAAATATAATCGATTAGCAAAGCGCAATATAGAATAAGAAGTTTAAAATTAGTACAATATATTGTTTTATTTTAAGTAATAATATAATAAAGAAAATCAGGACGAGATACAA